GGCTCAGGCCTAAGCTTGATGGATGGAATTGGTTGAGAAAGGTTCACCTTGACTGGCTCCACATTTTTCAGTTAGAAAATGGCCGCCTAAGTGAAGTCCTAATTAAATATCTGGACATTTTTCAGGAAGGTCTAGGGACTATCAAAGGAGCCAAGGCCACCTGGCATGTTGACCAGGAAGCAATCCCATGATTCTGCAAGGCCCGCCCAGTGCCATTTGCATTATGGGTAAAAGTAGAGACAGAAACCAGGAGGCTGGAAAGTGAAGGAATTATCAAACTCAGTGCAGTTTGTGGAATGGGCAGGCCCGGTCGTACCGATTGTGAAGCCTGATGGGTCGGTTCGCATTTGTGGGAGTTTTAAACAAGCGATAAACCACTTTTTGCAGTGGGATAAATACCCAATCCCTCACACAGAAGATTGATACGCAAAGCTTCAGGGGGGCTGTCCATCACAAAGCTGGACATGAGCCATGTGTACCTTCAGTTGTAGTGGATGAGGATTCCCAGATGTACACTCCAATTAATAACCACAAGGGTTTGTGCCAATATAACAATCTGCCATTTGTGGTATTGTCAGCCTGTGCAATTTTCCAGCGGATGACAGAGAACATTTTACAAGGTCTACCCCAGGTTGTCATTTATCTAGATGATGAGCTCATAACAGGGATGACCAATAAGGAGGAGTTAGCGAACTTGGTCTTAGATGTTTCCCCAAGGCAAGCGTTTGCCTTGGAAGGGAAAAGTGTATGTTCCAGGCCGAGTGACCAACTTGGGCTACAGAGTTGACAAGACCAGGTTACACATGTTGAAAGATAAAGTGAAGATGATCAAAGGTGCCCTGGCTCCCATGTCTATACCAGAGCTTAGGTTTTTCCTTGAGCTGGTGAATTATTATGGTTCATATATAACCTGGCCTCCATTCTGGCACCTTTCCATCAATTCTTATAAAAGGGTTAGCCTTGCAAATAGTTGCATGGCCTAGAAATAGGTTTCAGTGAAATGAAGTAACAGCTAACATCAGTGTAAGGTGTTGGCACAGTGTGATCCCAAGCAAGATCTGGTTTGGCATGCGATGCCTCCCTGTATGGCATCGGGATGGTGTTGGTTCACTGATGGCCCAATAGAGAGGAATACGCAAGAACATATTCATCCAGGACTTTGGCTAGTGCAGAGCATAAATATGCCCAGATAGAGAAGGAAGGTTTGATGGTCATATTTGGCTTCAGGAAGTTGCACCAATACCTTTATGGACATCAATTTGCAATAATAATGGAACACAATCCCTTGTGAGGTCTATTTAACGAGGACAAGGCAGTGTCAATGAATTCAGGCCGAAATCAGGGGTGGACTCTAATACTAAGTGCCTATCATTCCAAGTTGGAACACCATCCAGGAAGCCAGGCAGCAAGTGTACCACCTCCTGATGACACATACACCACCAGTGGTATCACCACTGGAAGAGCCAGGAATGGTTTTAAATTTTTTGGACACATTTCCAGTCCCAGCTGAAAATATCAGACTCTGGAGGCAGAAAGGGCCAGTCCTGGCAAAACAGAAACAGCTGGTAGTGATTGGGGAAGCCAAAGGGGCTACGACAACCAGAACTGAAACATTTTTGGACCCAGAGAGACTAGATCACGGTAGAGGACGGCATTATATTATGACGAGCAAGAGTGATTGTCCCGAGTAAAGGTATTAGCTGAACTCCACCAGGGTCATCCAGGGGTTTCCGAAATGAAGTTATGTCTGGTTGGCGGGATTGGATGCAGACATAGCTGCATTGCTTGGACAGTGCCCAGAGTGCGAGCAAGGACAGAGGTTACTGCCAGCAACTCCCCCACATTCGTGGGAATAGCTGGGGAAACCGTGAACTTGGTTACACATTGACTTATGCAGGTCCTTTCATGGGCTCAACACTCTTAGTCATTTTGGATGCCCACACAAAATGGTTGAATGTACATAGAGTTTGTTCAAACCCAGGGATGGCGATCGAAAAACTGTGTGCATCTTTTGCAATACATAGACTCACAGAAGTGTCGGTCACAGAGAACGGGCCATCATTTACCAACAGGAAAATTGAGTATTTCCTAAAGTCCAATGGTATTCCTCATATAAGGACAGCTCCATTCCATCCATCATCCAAAGGTCTGGTGGAAAGAGCAGTTCAAACTTTGAAGGCAGGCTTAAAGAAACAGCCTACAGCTTCACTCGATACCAAACTGTCTCGGTTCCTGTTTGATTATAGGACCATCCCTCATGCAACTATAGGAATAGCTCCAGTAGAGTCGCTGATGGGAAGAAGACCCTGCACCAGGTTAAACCTGATCTTCCCTGACCTTGGGGGGTGAGGGTGAAACAGCATCAGGAACGCCAGTGCTGGATGCAAGACTCTGTGAAGTGAGAGGGACAGTTTCATTCAGGGGACGAAGTTTGGTGTAGGAACCACAGGAATGAACCTGCATAGGTAAGAGACATGGTTGACATGAGATCAGGTTCATTGATGTATAAAGATTGGGTGGGTACAACAGTCCTGAATAGGCACATGGAACATATAAAAAGTTGCAAATTCACAAATGGTACGGGAACAAAACGTGCCAGGCTTCTCGATTTTCCGACTCTCCTGGAGCTCCGTGGGTCCTCCCACTTTGTGAAATATCGAAGGTACCTTGGAATCTGAAATGGACATGGCAAATGTCGCTGCATTGACACCTTTGCCACCTGAACAGGAAAATGAATTTTTTCCGAGTCACTGTGAGTACAAGAGGCAAACTATCATGGATTACATGCTGCCCATTTCAAAGGCCGAGTTGGAGGAACCTGACCCAGTGATAAAACGCCACAGGACGAGCTACAAAAAAAAGATCTGGCCTATGTTGTAGAATCATAGAACCCTACAGTGTGGAAGCAGGGCATTCAGCCTATCATCTTCCACCAAAGAGCATCCCACACAGACCCAACTCCCTACCCTATAACCCTGCATTTCCCATGGTTAATCCACCTAATCTGCACATCCCTGGACAATTTAGCGTAGCCAATCCACCCTAATCTACTCATCTTTCGAGTGTGGGAGGCTGGAATCAAACCTAGGTCCGTGGCACTGTGAGGTAGCAGTGCTAACCACTGAGCCACCATACTATTCCTCAGACTCAGAGGGGGAGGGATGTAGTGATTGTAACAAGGTCAGCCAGGTGGACCTCATAGAATACAAGTTCCCTGATTGGACCAGATTAACAGTCCCAATCAGGGAGTCCTGGCTGACAGATATAAACAGGAGTGTCAGGGGTTCTGTTCTCTCTGAGAGCTGGCTCTGTGGGAACTGAATTAGTGTCAAGGACTCTCCATGTGTTAATAAAGGGTGACTTGGTGACAGGATACTGGCCTCTGTGGAGTTATTTCACTATCAACCATCCCTTTGTCCACCTGACTGTTGTTCTCACTCTCTTTGCTCCATCTCCACCACGTCATCAGCATTTATACTTCCTTTTCTGATGGAGAGTCACCGGACACAAAACATTCACTTTCTTTGAAACACACAGAGGGACAGGGGGTACATACTCACACACATACACGCGCACACACACACGCACACACACATGCGCACACACACACACACACACACACTCACACACACACTCACACACACATACTCTCACACACACACTCTCTCACACACACACATTCTCAAACACACACACACACTCACACACACACACACACTCTCTCACTCTCTCTCTCTCACACACACACACACTCACACACATACTCTCTCACTCACTCTCTCACTCTCTCACACACACACACACAGGGTCAGAAGAGTCACCGATGGCTGTAACAATGGTGGAATCTCTTATTGATGATGTCTTAACAAGGCACTTAGAAAATCAGATCTGATTGAGCTAAATCAATATGATTTTACTGTGTCAAATCATGCGTGACACATATACGGGAGTTTTTAAACATGTAATTAAATGGCTCGATAAAGGGAACTCAGTAGATGCAGTGTATTTGGATTTCCAAAAGGCATTCAACAAGAACTTTGGAGTTGGGAGAAACCTGTTAGCATGGACAGTGAATTGGTTTACATACATGAAGTGGAGTGTTGACTGAGTGGGTGATTTCCAAACTGGTATGCTGTGCCTGGTGGGCGCCACAAGGATTGGTGCTGGAGCCTTATCTCTTTGCAATTAATAAGGAAGTCAGTAAGCATGTACAGCAAGAAATTAGTAAAGGTAGGGGCATGTTGCCCTTTGTTGTAAGACAGGAATAAGGTTGTCTCACTGTAATTGTACAGGGCTTTGGTGAGACCATGTCTGGATGACTGGGTGCAGTTCTGTTCTGCACTGTGAAGGAATGATATAATGCCTTGAAGGTAATGTAGCAGAGACTCATTAGAAAGCGTTGCTCCTGATGAGAAGCTGAGTAAATTGACTTCTATACGTTCAGGAGTTTATGAAAGGAATAAGAGGCGATGAAATTGAAGCAAAATTCGAAAGAGTCTTGACAGAGTTGTCACTGAAAACTTGTTCCCTGGCTGAGGAAACTATCAGAATAAGGGGGCAATCATTTAGGAGTGAGATGAGGAGAAATTTCTTCACTCAGTTGGTTGTGACATTGTTTAGGATATTCAAAGCTGTGATACACAGACTTCTAATCTCTGTCAGACTCAAGGACCAAGAGGGGCAGGCAGGGAGTAAAGTGGAGATCTGCCAGAAATGGCACAGCTAGTTTGATGGGCTGAAAGATCTACTCTTATTTGTTCCCCTCGTGTCCTCCACCTCAGAATGATACAGGGGCCTGCACTGGTTATTGGACTGTTAACCCACCAAATACAGCTTTATCGAAAAATCCCCAAGCCAAGACATAATCCACTGACAATCTTTCACGCAGTCTGGCAACGGGAGGGTTCTGTGTCTTAATTAACAACTTAGAAAAATGTGACACCCCCGGCTTATATCTCACTCGGAGCTGAAATGGCGAATGTAACATTAGTTGCACTCACGTGAATATCGGAGGCCAGTGACGGACTGGAGTCACAATAATTCGTAATATTCCACTACAAATAACTTCTGAGTTCTGTGTCACACTAATGTGCAGTTCAAATTTCTAATTGGTCAAAGAACAAAGCCATGAACAATGACAAACAACGCACAACATCAAAAACAATTACACCTGCACTTTCAGCTTCAAATCAGAGATCATTCAATTTGGAGTCATTCCCCAAATCAATACACAGCATAAACAGAGAGAGTCCCGCTCCTTGTTAGAGCTGGGATCAGAGAGAGTGTTTAACTGGGTTAGAGCTGGTATCAGAGAGAGTGTTTCATTGTGTTAGAGCTGGGATCAGAGAGAGTGTTTCACTGGGTTAGAGCTGGGATCAGAGAGAGTGTTTCACTGGGTTAGAGCTGGGATCAGAGAGAGTGTTTCATTGTGTTAGGGCTGGGATCAGAGAGAGTGTTTAACTGTGTTAGAGCTGGGATCAGAGAGACTGTTTCATTGTGTTAGAGCTGGGATCAGAGAGGGTGTTTCACTGGGTTAGAGCTGGGATCAGAGAGAGTGTTTCACTGGGTTAGAGCTGGGATCAGAGAGAGTGTTTCATTGTGTTAGAGCTGGGATCAGAGAGAGTGTTTCACTGGGTTAGATCTGGGATCAGAGAGAGTGTTTCATTGTGTTAGAGCTGGGATCAGAGAGAGTGTTTCACTGTGTTAGAGCTGGGATCAGAGAGAGTGTTTCA